TACGGTGTTGATGATAAAGGCACACCGAAGATAGAGCAGAAAGATGTCATATCCTATAACATCAAGATCCAGACATTTGATGAATAATAGGATATGATATCATTCAATGACATAAGTCTAGCGGGAGTTGGTTCAAGCCTCCTCAGTCGTTCGGCGATCCTATGCCTGACAGTGCAATCGTCTTGTGGACAATAAAAATTGCTAAAATCTATTTCAAAATATAAAATGCATTCTTCTTTATAAAACAAAATTTGATAATCTTTTTCGAGATTTGTGTATGTCAAAAACATAAATTTTAAAATATATTTTTTAAAATACGTTGTCCACCTAACGAATACCTGTTTAGGCTGGGAAATAGCCCCCCTAAGTGAGTTCAAGACACTATTCTAGACGAGTGGCAGATTCTATACATTCGGGTGACCGAGGAGTCTTCGTGGACTCTCGAGAATATATAGCTGAGCCTAGTCCCATACGAGTGCTTGCGGTCCCCCTCATATGAATCTTCTTTTTGTTTTATCGAAGTCTTGGGACGAGGCACTCGTGTTACTTTTCCTTTCTTTCGGGATTTCCCCAGGAGTTTTGAGGATTTTCTTTTGTTTGAGTCTTTTTCGTTGATTTTTCTCGAGTTTCTCCGCTTTTCCTCGAGTTTTCTGGATGACGTTTCTTTCAAACTTTGTTTTTTGAGATGCATTTAGGTTTGCTATACTTAACGAATGACGGATCTCACGGGCGTACAGGTTTGCTTTACATTTTACAACAATTAATTTTCCTGTCTTCTACCTGCTACTGCTCTTCTTGTAGAACATGTTACACTTGTCCTGTTTTCTACCTGCTACCGTACCGTACAGCATGTTATGTTATTCATGTTTCCACTTGCTACTGTTTCTTCTCGTATAGCATGTTATACTGCTCCTGTTTAGCCTACTACTGTTCCACGTGCATTATATTGTTTGTTTCTGCGTTGCACACTTTACATTATATAATTTCAAGCATGTTTCCTTTTTGCATAGGATGTTTAGAGGACTACAACCATAGGGCCGTTTGATTTAACACTATAACTGGACACCCTAGAGAACTTAAACTCGTCATGTTAGGGAGCTTGGAGCTAGCGCGGTGGGCAGCACGGCCATCTTCAACAGCAGAACGTGTCTTCCCCAGCAAAACCTTCCCTTTTCTTAGAAATTAAACAACAATCCATAGGATT